TATGATAAATAATAACTACTTCGCAATATTAGTCGAATAAGAATATTAGCACGTTTAAATAATCTTTAGAGCTTACAATATACGATTTGATCATCAGGGAAAAGTACATGTGTACATCATGGAAAAGTGCAATAAAATGATTACATAGATTTTTCTGAAATTTATTGACTTCAGCTAGTATGTAAATATTAAACAATATGGTGGAAAGTGGACAGCCCTGTCTCAACCCTATGTTAATTAATTTTATTGGGTAGTACAGTACGTGCATTTCCCCATTCTTACGAAATGGTGAAAAGCCCTTTTCTAACAATTAGATCTTAATTTACCTAATATTTTGTAATATATATTTTTTTTTACATTTTCACTACAAATAATATTCAAGAAGTCCAAATATTTTAAATTTTAAAGTGAATTAATATATATTTATATTCCATAATTGTTTTAATGGTCTTAAATTGTTTAATGATCATGAACTAAAATACATTTTTTCTAGAGTCCTTGGGCAGCGGGGTTCCAAAAATCTGCTTAGTCTGCGGAGGCATTGTTCAGCACTTTCGCACCTGCATATTACGCGGCAAATATCTTTATAATAGATTCGTGTTAACAGAAGCATCAAATACTCTCCTTTTGCTCTCAGAGGCATTTCGTTTACATTACCCCGAAATGATAGTGTTTTCCAGTAACGAGCAGCGATTGAAATCCTTCTCAGAGGCGGGATTTCGAATCTTTTACGGGGGGAGCAAAGGGTCCCCCCGCTTAAGATGTAAAAAGTATATGAGTAGTTACACTATTATTCTAACATACACACAATATTTTTTTAAGATTTCTTAGTTCCCGTCCCACCACCCACACACCCCTATAGCCAGAAACTTGTTTCTATTATTTTTTTATTTTCATTTTTCGTCAACTTCACGATATTTTATCTGAATGAAAAATAACAAAACGATTTATCCTATCAGAAAAAAAGACATTTTTTGATATTTTCTAAGCTCCAAATTCAATCGCAAAGTTTGTTTATTACAAAAAATAATGTTTACTGTCCAAGAACCCTGGAACAGGCTTAAAAAATCAAAAGTTCTTCTTAAAAACCAAAACGTGATTTTTTTCTGATTTTTTCGATTAGTAGTTAAAGAATAAAAAAACACTTTTACCATTTTAAATCACATACATTTTCAAAATGGATGAAACAGTTCTGTGCATTTATTTGAGTGTTTATTACACATCTGTAACGAAAAATGTTCTGTTGTTCAAAAAAATAATGATACTTTTTTGATAATGGTACCAACATTATGATTAAAACATTAAATTCGCCTTTATAATAACATAAAAGTGAAATGACTTTAATAATATTGAATATAACAGAAAATATTTCATGGTGAAAACAGGTTCGTTTTTTTCTCCGTGTACACTGGGCATTAAACAAATATCATGCATTAGTTACAATATATCTTACATTATAATGAGAAAACATACTTACAAAATATAATATAGAGTTTTACTCAACGTCACTCGTATATTTTCACTTTCTTACTTTTTCAAAAACTGTAAACGCGCTGTTTTTGGTCTCATAACACAATATATGTTCACGCTAGAACTGCCAGACCACAGAAAAATTAGTCACTCGGTGTTTTGAAACCGTCCGTTTAGCAACGTTGGCAAATTTCTTCTTTTCAAGATCCGTTAAAGAAAATAGTCTAACATGGACAACGGCAACAAAGTTTTCCTTTTGCCAACTACGCTTCCGTAGATTACAAGAAATGTATAACGAACGTAAAATATATGAATTTTATCGCATTGCAGACCCTGAAACGTTTCGTGTTGCACCTATTTTTCCGCGTTCGAAGTATTAACAACGCGAGAAAATTTGTAATAGAAATAATTTATTTAATCATAATATACATATGATCCTTGCAATTCTAAAATATAATGATACTTTACAATATACTTCCAGACTATTACATTCAATTTAGGGTATGGCAGGTAAGAATGGTGCGAATAGTTAGAATTTAGTACAGCTCCCATTTTGAACGCTTTTTTGCTAATATACACAAAAATGCACATAAAATATCAACCGTGTGCTGTTCTCCAGCGTTTTTCTCTAATAAGATCATTTTAAATTAGTTTCGAAAATTCTGACGCAAAATCTTCTACATTTCATTCTTCCCCGGATTTGCTTTCCGCCTCCACATTTTTGTCCCCTAATTTCTGAAAAGATTAAAATTGCACAAACTCTTTTGTATTAACTTTTACTCCTGCAAATTCTCTATTAAGCCTTTTATTGGTGAATATAAATAAACGGTAAAAGACGACTTTTTATGTTTACATGAATAAAGAGTTAGGTTTAATAAGAATAAGTTGTTAGTCATATTCATTTGAAAATCTGTATTTGCAAACTTAGGAACGTAACTGTGAAAGGTGAACTAATAAGTTAAATGTGCTTTCATTTGGTAGCATTACTCACAGTTTGGTTTTCTCCGTATTCACTTGAAGTTCTTCAAATATAATAAGTTACCCACAACACACAATACTTTTGGATATTTACAATTTTGCGGTCGGATCTGACAACAAATTATCAGTTCTCCACCAGGAGACGATTCGTGCACGGGAAGTTTTCTAACCGTGAGTAAGTAAGGAATCCCTACACACGCACACTCAAAATAACTCAAATACTGTTTGGGGATTATTTTTTCTCAAAATATAGAAGAAAAAAAAAATTATAATCAACATTGGGGAGCAGTTGTCGCCCCCCCCCCCTGTACACGGCCTCAGCTTCAGTTCAGATTTGTTTACCTGCGGAATGGTCAGTAATATTTAGCATATTTAGAATGTTTACAGAGTCCTCTCCGATCACGAAGAAAAAGAAAACATAAAATTGTTTTAAAATATACAATACAGGTACATTGTTATCTCTTTTATTGGGCATGTTATTTTACTTAACAAATTTGTGAAAATGAAACGTAAGTATTATCCAATATGTCCTTTAAAACTGAATATTAAAAAGTGATGTTTTAAAAATACTCAGCGATAACTTTCTCATTGCGAGATCTAGCTGGTTGGTACCACAAATACATTTTAATGACATTTCAAGGTATTATCTCATCCCATTGAAAATTTCGCCTACACTCTACATTGAAAGTAATGTCTACAATTGATAGGATACAAATCCTGGGGGTTTCACATTTACCCACGTTATTACGTATACGAATACATATATGAAGTTTCCCACTCTCTATACTATACATAATTTCAAGTTGCATCACTTTTTATTGTGTGTGTGTTTCATTAAAAACCTAATCACCCAGTACTTCCAAATCATTTACAATATACTTAATCAT